CCCCCCCGGCCCCCAAACTCACTAGTTTAAAGTCCTAGTGACCACCCTATTTATCCTTTTCGCTGGAACACTGGTTCCAGATCGGTTCGGGTGGAGACCGTCCCATCGGTACAGATCCCTCCGGTTCCAAAACTGATGCCAATGCCCCATAAAATGGAACCCCTCTTTCCCACACCACTCCCTTAGCCACGTGTTTACTTCTCTAATTTTCTTATCCCTAAGCCAATTTGCACGTGGCTCGGGCAGTAATCCGGAGATTATGACCCTCGAGGACCTGTTCCTTAATTTCGTTCCTAGTGCTTGATAATCCCCAATCAGGTCCTCCACCCTAGCCTTGCCTATGTTGTTAGTCCCAACGTGGACCACAACAACTGGATCCTCCCCCTCCCGCTCCAATATCCTTTCAAGCCGGTCAGAGATATCCTGCACCCTGGCACCTGGCAGGCAACACACCATGCGGGACTCCCGATCCGGCTTGCAAAGGATACTATCTGTCCCCCTAACTATAGAATCCCCTATAACTACCATTTGTCTTTTTGCTCCCCCCTCTTGAATGGCCTTCTGCACCATGGTGCCGTGGTGAGCTGGCTCATCCTCCCCGCAGCCCTTTTCCTCATCCACACAGGGAGCAAGTATCTCATACCTGTTGGATAAGGTCAAAAGCTGAGGCTCCTCCACTCCTGAACTCAGGATCCCCCTACCTGCCTCACTTGCAGTCACACCCTGTTGTCCCTGATCACTAACTGAATTTGAATTACTTAATCTACCAGGTGTGACTGCCTCCTGAAACAAAGCGTCCAGGTAACTCTTCCCCCTCCCGGATGTGCCGCAGTGTTTGAAGCTCAGATTCCAGATCTTCAACTCTGAGCCGGAGTTCTTCCAGCAACCAATGCTTGCTGCAGATGTGGTCACTGCCGTTCACAATGGGTTCAGCCAGCTCCCACATCATACAGCTACAGCACATCACCTGCCCAGCCATCTCTACTTAGTTAATTACTTTATTACTTTATATCAATTTATGAGTTAAATACTTTCTAATATTCTCTGCTATGGTCTTTTCAAATAACCAATTAATAGAAAAATAAAAAAAGAAAGTAAATTTTTAACCAATTACACGATACAGAAAAAATAGAAAAAGTATAAAAACCTTACCTCACCAACACACCACAGTGTCTTGGGTTCAGCCGCTGCCCACATATATTCCCGGCAGCCCCCTGGTCCTCGCCGTTGCCTCTCCCTCTGCTGCTGAAAAATGAAGGGAGCTGACGCTCGAGGTAAGGCCTTCAAGAGGGAAAACTTACCTTCTTGGCAGCCCCCTGGTCCTCACCGTCGCCCCTCCCTCTGCTGCTGAAAAAATCTCTTCCCTCAACTTTCTCTGCACCGAAGCAAATATGAGTTTATCAGTCTCTCTTTATGGCTAACGCGCTCTGTCCTAGGCAACATCTTGCTAAATTTGCTGTGCACACTGCAGTCCAATCACCTCCTTTCTATAGTGCAGAAACCAGAACTTCACGCAGTACTTCAACTGTGGCCTAACTAAAGTCCTGTACTGCTCCAACATAGCCTCCCTGCTCTGATAATCTATGCGTTGACTGGTAAAGACATGCTGCCTTAACTACCCTATCAAACTTCTCTCCCACCTTCAGGAACTTGTGGACAAGCAAATTCCAAGTTGTGATAGTTTATGACTTGGAGAGGAGCTTGCAGTACCAGCATTCTCCCTGCACCTGCTGCCTTCATCCTTCTAGATGGTAGAGGCCACAGAGTTGTAACGTGATGTCCAAGGAGCATCAGTAAATTGCTGTAATGCCACTTCCTTAAATCTGTGCTTCGGTTTTTTTAAACCTTTCTGCCGCTGTAAACAATTTCTTGTAATGCATTCAAATCTTTAAGATTTTGCACGTTTATGAAATCACCACTCACTTTTCTGCTGTATGGTAACAGCACCAGCTTTTCTAGTCTCTGTAGATAATGAAGTACCATGATCCTACAATTCTAGTCACACTTTGCACCTGTTATAAAAGTATACCATATGCATTTAGATGCAGTACTCCAGCAGTAGCCTAACCTGTGATTCTTTTTTTTTTTTTAAATGGTTTAATGTAACTTCCTTATTTTTAACTTTGCGTCAGATGAGTAAGGCTATTAGAAATACAATAACCCAACTAGGCATAAGGTGCCCACAAATTCCCGTCCTCTGCTATATGCAGTGACCTCTCTCTCTCTTTTTGCACCTGTTTGTCATTCTTCCAGATGATAGACAGAATACTTTACCTGTAACGTTGAGGTCTATCAATTCTTCTAAAGAACCCTTTTTGACTGTGGTAATTGCTCTTTTCACAAATTTTCCCTTGTTTCATTTTTAAGATTGTCATATTACTGCTTTCATCATGAAAAAGTCGACTTTTTTTGTTCCGTTCATGAAGTTGTATGTTTCTTTTTAGAAACATTCTTCAGTTTCATCTAGGTCTTGCAAATTTGTATGCCTTCAGTTCCATTTAAAATTTTAATTTTTTTTAAAAATTCTACATTTTTGTTTAGTACCACATTTATTTTAATAGCATTGTGCTTTGATCAGGGGGCAGTGCTTGAGGTAGAAAAATGCCGCATAACTTTCACTGAGTGAATGGTTTGCCTTTCAGATAATTTATTCAAATTTTTTTTTTAAAAAAAAAATCTACTCATTGTACTTCCCTGAAGTGGTGACAGAACTTGTAGAGTCAGTATTTACTACAGTTCCCAACACTGATGGTAAATCCACTATAGCTTCACTGGATTGTGGTGGTGAATGTCAAATTTTGTTTTATTGCACTGTACCTCAGGTTAGACTCCTAGATATTTGAAGCATGGAAGAGGCTATTCAACACATTGCATCTATGTCCATCACCAAAGATCTGTATACACTAATTCTATGTATTCAAGAGGGATATGTGATCAAAGGTTATGAGGAGAAAGCAGGATTCGGCTGTTGAGTTGGACAATTAGCCATGGTAGTGAAGAATGGCGGAGCAGGTTCGAAGAGCCGAATGGCACCCTCCTGCTCCTATCTTCTGTGTTTCTGCTTTTCTCCAGCTTTTGGCCCATAGACCTGGAGGCTGTAACAATGCAATGAATAGTTAAACAATCTAATTCCATTTATAACTTATCAATATTGTGGCAATTGTGTGTTTTTTTTGTAGGTTTGTGTTTTTGGTCATCTTGTGACAAACAAAATGCCAGCTCCTAGAAATAATTTTCCTATTTCTTGTGACCAATTGCAATTAAGATAGGCGTTTTGTAATGTTAACTGGTGGTGTCTTTTTAGCTCGGCCAAAAGTTTCTACCTGCCCCGGAAATGAGGTAATATATCTGAATAGGTTGATTAAAAGTTTGTGTGTCTGTGTCTGTGTGTATAATGAAAGGCTGTATCTGATGACACCACGGAGCATGTGTGCTATTCCCCATAAATACAGAAGCAGCCATGAACAGGGAGAGGGTTGGGGAAAGGTCAGGCTGTATTGGAAGGACTAGACCATAGAGGTTGAAGGACCTGCCCCACCCAGCCCCATCCACTCTTTTCTTTTTAAATTGTTGTCTCCCCCCACCCTCCTCCCAAAATGCTGTATCATGAATGATTTACTATGCTGCTTAGTAGTCATTGCTACTGTTTCACAAAAACAGACTTTATTTGCTTGTTTCATCCTTTTTCGTATTACTTACTTGGATGTGGTTTGTCTTACCTGATTACTATTGCTCAAAACTAGATTGGATGGAGTATTTCCCAGCGTGTGGGCAGTAAGTGTGAAAGAGATCAAGTTCCAATTTAGTAAAAGTTGGAAAATGGCCCACATGCTTCTTGGTATTCATAACCTAAAAACATCTTCAGTACAAAAACAGTGCTGAAATGATACCTGCTAAAATACTAAGTGGCTAACATCTATGGCCAAAGAAAATTCAGGATTTTGTTTTTCATTTTGTGTATAATGCAGCTCTGACATTTAAAATCCATTTTCCCTCTCCAAAGAACTGGGGGGACTGCTGAAGTACGTCAGACCATTCCTGAATTCCATCAGTAAAGCCAAGGCTGCTCGATTGGTTCGGTCATTGCTCGACTTGTTTCTAGATATGGAAGCAGCAACTGGCCAAGAGGTAAGAGTTAATACTGCTGAAATTATGTAGTTGCTCAAACTGACTTTCTATTTAATGTTTAATCTGACAGAACAAACAAAAGAATACTATTTAAATTGTGTAGGACTGATGTCTTGACTAGAAAATCTTGGATTTCACAATTTCACGGCTATAATTAATGCAGTGAATCAATGTGCTTCTGGGACTTGCATTGATGTGGGTGAAGTTGAAAGCCCAGTGCATCTGTCCTTCCAGCTGGTAATTATTGTAAGGTGTGAAGGAACTATCAAAGGGATAACAAGCTACCTGATGCAATTTACCATAGGCCAGTGCTGATCCTACTTGGGGACTTTATGGTGTCATCCTTCAAATGAGCCATTAGCGGAGGCCCGTCTACCCTTGTGACTACAAAAGTCCTGTGGTGCTGTTTGAAGAAAAATAGAAATATTGGTCAATGTTTGTTCCTCAACTAACATCACTAAACCAGCTGATCTAATCACATTTTATTGCTATTTGTGTGGCTAAAATGTGCAGAGTATTTGGAGTATTCCCTATCATTTTAGCATGTCGTGAGACTGCAAAAGGTCTGACAGGTTATGTTAAAATATTATTAGATTCTTTCTCTGTCTACAAAGCTTTATAAAAAGCTGTGCCTGGTGTACCAGAAATTATCCTTGTAATTGCCTTATACTTGACCATCAGAATTAACTGAGCTGTGGCTTTTACAGGTTGAATTATGTTTAGAATGCATCGAGTGGGCAAAATCTGAGAAAAGGACGTTTTTACGCCAGGCTTTGGAGGTACGTTTTTGATTTATTAATTGGCCTCAGCAGAGGAAATATCAAATAATATCCAATTCACTCGAGTTTGGAAAATGTTTCTTAAATCAATTGTTTTTAAATTTAAGTGCAGTAAATTCCCCATTATCCAGTACCAGAGCATCTGGAAATCTGATGCAAATGGCAAAAATCTCAAAGAAAATTTACAATTTTTATAAAGGTCTTCAAATGTGTAAATTTGAACTTAGTGCATAAAGTTCTCATGCACATAAGTTTGTGCCATGCTGTAGTTGTTCTTCCAGTTGCTACTAGCGCTCCTGATTTTCATCCTCCCTCAAGTAGGTGCCTACAGCAGCTGCTAACTGAATTTTGTTGTAACTGAAATCAACCCCCCTCCCCAGCCAACAATCAGCTATGTCACTGAATGTGACTCCCAAGCAAGGACTAAAGTGTGTTGTTTTGACTTCAAAACAAATAGGAATGTAAAAGACTAGAAAAGGGTGCGTGTCCTTACGCAGAAGCTGTGTTGGTTGTCAATGATCTATAACATTAAAGTATCAAGTGAAAAGCTTCTAGTTCTTTGTGAAAGCAAGCAGATATAAAAAAAAAGGAGATCCTAGGTCTAAATCCTTAACACCTCGGCCTTTGACATCAAGATGCAATTGCTAGTTCTGCTGATGACCCTGATGAAATACTGAGTTTCCAGATTTCAGTGAGTAAATTGTACTGCCTTTTTTCACATTTTAGATTTAAGATTTTCAAAGAATACTGGAGTGTACTGTATTGGACTTCTGTAAGAATATTTCTCATGCAGCCAGCAGATTTGTGTAATTGCCATACCTACCAGATACTGGGAGTCTCCACATAATGAACGGATCGCATTCTTGAGTGTGTTTCTAAGTCAATTCATACGCAAGTTGGAACAGTTTTAAAATATCTGTTCATAAGTATGAACAAGTGTTCACATGTTGGACCCTTAAAATTTAATAGGGATCCTATTTATAACTGAGCATTCATAAGCCAGACGCTCAAATCAGGGAATGCCTATGCTATATTCATATTATTTTCTCTTATAAGGCCAGTTACCAAAAGTAATGCTTTTGGAACAGCAAGTAATCTTTTAATTTTGACTTACTTTCCATATTTTGCACTTGGAAAAATAGTCTTTTAAAAACTGCTGTTCATAAAATCTATTGTTTCCTTGTGTCAGTTTGGAGGAATCTCCAGTATTTGTTTTTGACAAGCAATATATTAGACTATTAGGTATATGCCTTTTTTTTTTGATACTTTTAACCTTTCTAGGTTCGACATGGCTTTCACATTGTAGTGAAGGAGATTCAATATTGGTCCAGTGCTTATGTACTTGCCAGTTAAGTTTGTTTCATCACCGCATAAGCAGAATCTTTGAACAGATACTAGTCCATTGTCCTAGTTGGGGGAGTTTGTTTTTTGACTATGAATAATTTTGTCTGACATTGCAGGACTTGGTTTAGACATGTGCGCAGGTAGCCTGTGATGTGACTTTTTTTTGTTAAAATGGGGCTTCGAGATTTTGAAATTACTTTCTTTGAACTGAATACCTACAATTTATAAAATAAAGTTAGCTTGCTCTAAATACGGTAGTTTAGATTGAAAACAAAGGATTTGCACAGTATTTGTACTTTTAATCCATAACCACTGATCTATCAAGTGAAATCTACTTCAAAATAAACTAAATCACCTCAGGATTTTGTGTGGTGAAACAATATAGATTTTTGTACAAAGTTGTTTGGTTTATTGCAAAATTACGAGGCTGCAGACATCTCAGGAGAACTTGTTTAAACTTGCTCTGATTTGTTGGTGTAGAATAACAGATGTTTGCAAACAGGTATTATCCAGGTAATTTGTACAGTAGACAGGTTTTAAAGAAAAAGCAAGTGGTGACAAATTTTCAAGAAGTTTGTGTTGTGTTTACAGTTCAATTTCCTGAATCTTAATGCATATTAAAGTTTGTCTTAAAAATCAGAAGATACCTCCAGTATGGTATTGGGAGCTTGCTGTTTGATAAGTTGTAAATGAAGACTTGCGTACTTAAAACGCTATTATTTTAGTGGTAACCTCCTTTACAACTAGATTGTAAAGAGAATCCTCCTTTACTGCGTCCACTATTGTTCTTGTATCAAGCCTAGGGTCTTGTCTTAACTGCATTGTGATTATTGTAGTGTTCATACATTTAGCATAAGTTTGAGGCAATGCTAGAGCAGTGAGATTACACTTAATTGAACAAATTAAATTTGTGATCAGGAAACTTGGCTCTAGCCTCTGTGACTGCTGCCTGATTTTGTTTCTTAAACCAACTGAAACTAGAACTTGCTAAGACCACATCTGCTAAGTGCTTGTAATGTAACAAGGAAGGAAAAATGTCCAGTGGAGTGATAATATCAGACCATTTAAAGCGATCCTACAAATATGTAGAAGCCCTTGTATCTGGAGGAAATTTTGAATTGTGTTTGACTTAGACCATTGTTTTAATATCAATAAAGCTATGGGAATGTTATCAGCTATTTTATCAAGGTGGGGGGTGGGCTGTATGCTTGTTAAAATGAGATTCAGACTTGAATGATATGGTAAATGACTAGAAGCTATTCTAGGCTAGAAATAATAATCTTGACTATACATATAAATACTAACAATTATCATCTCACCTTGAAGTAACCTAGACAGCTGGATTCATTTTGAGGTATGTGCTTCCCCTCTGTAATTAATATTTCTGTTCCCATGAAGGGATATTTAAATTAAGATGCCTTACTGATTGCAGTATAAATATAGTATCATTTTACTTTTCCTCCTTTGTCCCTCTATCTCCAGGATACAAGCTAAATATATTAGGAACCTTGGGTATACCGAAAAGGGAGCAAGATTTATTTGCCAGGATTACTGTCTGAAGTAGGTTGTAGTGGGGTTTTAATGGGATTTAAATAATTTACATCTGGGGTGAACTTACTGCTTTTATGTCATCCCAAGATTTTCAACACTGTATATTCGTCTTGTGCAAAAGTTGGGAACACATTGACCTTGGATTTTATTCAGGACGTTCACTTAAGATTCAAGATCCCACAGGCATTTGGAGGGGTTACTGCATACCCTTGCAAGTCTACCCGTTGTTGCCATTCGTTCAACATTTACGTTATTATATTGGTTACCATCATAAACCGTTTGAAGCATATATTTCACTCAATGCCTGACTTTCACATATCGGTTATTGAGTGAGCAGTCAGAAAAAGAGTATTGATAAGCTAACATCCTGTCACCTTTTGCATTCAAATTAACGTGCCTGACAATGGGAGATTGATCTTTCAGACAGGCTTGATGGCCTAATATTTGAATCGCATTGACTGTTGCACTCCAATGGACTGTGGGTCAATCAGGAATCTTAACTCATTGATTAAATACTTACAGGAACAGACCAGTAATTTTGAGTAAGAAGCATTTGTCTTTCACTTTGTATGAGGTTGCAGTGTAATGGTAAACATGTTGTGCAGAGGGGGCTGCATTCCTACTGGAATTCTGTCCTGTCAGGCTAGATGGTTCAACTTGGGTGTTGTTCATGATTTGGTTGGTGAGCTTTGACTTGGCCTACTTGTGTTACTTTTTTGGGGTTCAGGTAAATGAATTGAGTTCAGTAGGTCAATTTTAATGTACAATTCAAGGAGGTTTCATACCTTCACCTACAAAAATTTTGGTCATTTTTGTTACACTTATTTTCCAAAGACAATTATTTTCAGAAGTTACAGCTTTGTATGAAACATAACTTTGAGATCTGTAGACCACTTCTGAATCCAACGTGAATATAAATTTGTGAGCTTAATTTGATATTAATGACTTGTGATGTGTGGGCGCAGTTTTAAAATTTGCAGATAATACAAAACTTGAAAATCTTATTTACCATGGAAGAGAAAAGGTACGGGCTTCAAGAGGACATAAATAATTGGATAGTTAGTGGACACATGCCAGAAGAAATTTAGTTCTGCATAGAATGAAGTGATGCATTTTGTAGGATGAATGAGAAGGGAACACTATTAAAGGTGGTGCAGGTACAGAGACTTGGAGGTAAATGTGCACAAATGTAACTGATAGCAGTGGATGAAAATGGTTTCAAAGGTATACGTGATGCTGGACTTTATAAATACAAGGATGGAGTACAAGAGCAACAATGTTGTGGTGAACCTTGAAAAACCCTGTTCAACATCAGACTATTATGTTCCATTCTGCACAAACTTGGAAAACTGAAGGCCTTGCAGAGCTGCAAAAAAAGATGATGAGACTAATTCCACAACTGGGGAATTTCGTTTACCTAGATTGGAGGAATCTGGGATTGTTTTTAAAAGGTTGAAGGGGATTTGACTGAAGTGCTCAACATCATGAGTGGCCTGGACTGACTTCATAGAAAGTGTTCCCATTGGTGGAAAACCCAAGACCCAGAGGACACCAATTTAAGGTGATTAATAAAAGGACCAACCACAAAATGAAGAAGAATATTCTTGCACCTCATGATTTGGATCAAGAACTAATTGCTGCAGTGTGCTGGAAGTCGATACAATTGTGACTTCAAAAAGGAAATTTGCTTTGTATCTGAAGAGAGAATTTGTAGGGTTTAAAAAGGTTAGAGAGTGGGAAAGTGAAGTTATCTAAGTTACTCTTAATGAGCCAGCTTGGCCACCACCTGTGTTGTAACCATTCTGAGTATGATAGATCTTTTTGTTTTTGGATACATGTTAGTCTTGTCTTGCATTGCATTACAAGGAGACTCTAAGCCATATGAATCTCCATGTGGGGGTACCAAATTAGTTTGGTATTGGTAGTGAGCAAAGTGTATTTCTTCTTGTCTCCAATATGCATTTAATGTTCTGTAAGAGATTCTCTAAGCTATCGTATTGCCTTTGATTAAAAGGACTGTTCAATTATTGTATTGAGTTGTACTTTCGTTAATATTTTTGGGCTTTTGGAAGGAAATCACAAGGATTCATGTTAAATTTGTAGACTAAATACATGAATTGAGATGTTCTGTTTGACCATTTGAGAATCTGTGCAATGTCAAATATGTATCTAAAGGCATATTTTCAGTCTATAGTGAACAGTGTGTGGTCCTTGACACTGGACATGAGGGGAAGCATGAATGTATTTACAAAGATAACTGAAATTTGGCTTTGAGATCTGAGCGCTCTCTCTCTGATTAGTTTGGTCAGCATATGCAATTCCTAATGATAAGAAGGAAATTGTATGCTAGCGGTGAAAAATTTACCCATGACAATGCTATTGATGAGCTTGAGTAGTTTTTAATTGCATCATGGTGAGCATGATTTTACTGCCCTGGTTATTGTGGTGTTGTCGTTAACCTTGACACTTAAATTTTTTAATCTTGCATTAAGAATTTTTGTGTAATTTGACTTTTTTTGAGAGCACCTTTAACTGGAATGTTGTCTGCAGATGCACTAATATTGTTTGTTACAGCTAATAACTAGTGCACTGCAGCTAACGTTTTTTTAGCTGGTCCTGGTGCTGAGGTTCTTCTAAGTGCCTTAAAGGCACAATTTAATGAGTGGCACTTTTAGATTTTCCATTTGTCATGATATTAGCTCTACTGACATGCAATTTGCATTGTAATCAGTTACACTTATATTCATAATTTTAAACTTTATCCACAGTAGTTCCTTGAAGTTTGAGTACATTTGCTATCAGAATTATTCATAGCTTTCGGCCGATCCCTCTAACCTTTTGAAGGTGGCAGTGAGCTGCTACTTTGAATTGCTGCAACCCATGTGCTGTAGGTAGATTCTCAATCCCGTTAGGAGGAAATTCCAGATTTTTGACCCAATGATGCTGAAGGAATGGTGATTCATTGCCAAGTCAGGATGGCGAGTGCCTTAGAGGAGAACTTGCAGGTAGTGGTGTTCCTGCAAGATTTGAAGAAATAATTTGTTCTCCTTGCTGCAGCTGAACTTTTTTCGAATTCTTTTTAATATTCTGTTACTTTGGCAAGTCTTTAGGATGGCTGTCAGATAGGTATAGTCAGACCCGCATCTTAGATTTAAAGTTACAAAAGTATTGCACTTTAATGACTTGAGTTCAAACTTCAGTTGAAACACGCACATTTTAACTATTTTAATATTTCCTATACAGGCTCGCTTGGTTTCTCTGTACTTTGACACTAAGAGGTACCAGGAGGCATTGCAATTAGGTAACTATTGATACTGCTTTCATCTATTGGGTAGATAGCCTGGGAACTGTGGCAGCAGTATGGTGGGTGTGGGTTGCGTTGTAATCCTCAATCAAAACTTGCAGGACAATTAGAATGCAAAACCTTCCTCCATTTTGTTTCATTTGTCTTTCTAATATCTAAAGTGTTGACGGTAATTAATCAGCACACAGGTTAATTGTTGCTGGTTTAAGTCTGTTCCAAAATGTGGTGGACTTTGGTATTCGTTTGAAATCTTAGTGACTGCTTTAAGCTGTGTTTTTAGTTTGGGGAAATTTATGGGTTTTTTTTCAGCTGTTTTGGGATGGATCTTGCGGACTTGTACTTAAATCAGATAATACTTAACCTACCAACTAGACACTGGAATAGTATAACTATAATAATCTAATGCTGCTGTCTGGGAAAATTGTAATAAAATTAGTTAACATGTGAAGCATTCATTCCTAAGTGCAGTCACTTCAAATTGTACAATACGTGTATTTAACTCCAATTTGTCTAGTATCAACATAGTGTTTAATATCATGAGACGCATTTCACTGTTTTGGCAGATTTTCGGATAAGCCAGCTAATTTCCATATTTCTTTCTTTGAAAGTTTGGAAAGAAAGCACTATTAGGTACAACTCCAGTTTGTATATCGAAGACTTTCATAGTAAGGATGAAGTATTGTCACCATGCTTAACACGGAAGTAACTATTTCTGACCACAATTTAAAATGAGACCAATGTGTGTGTTGCAAAGCATTTTTTCTTTTATGTAATATTCAATGTGTTCTGATATACTTGACAAAATTTAAGTCGATCCTTCACAATTTTAGTTCTTATGTGATCTGTCACTGTTCTGAGTTAGCAGATCTTTTCGGTATATGTATGACATGGAAACTCCACTAGAGGGCAGGGCTCTTTAATTTTCATTATTTAGTATCATTTCAGATCATAGTTGATGCATTTCTCACTGCCCAGTAGAGGCCACTACACTCTTGGAATGTAACTAAAATCTAATTACAAGATTTGTAATGGTACAGAAATGCTGGTTCTTCACAAATCATTTTTTTTTCAGTTTTTTTTACATAGATTTGAAAATATTCAGTAAATAAGATAGGTATTTATTGGATCACCGAGGAAAACATTTCAAACCCTTCTGACTTATTATTTAATGTGCTACAAAAATCGAGTATTTGGCAGAATTGATATTAAATTGCTTTGAGAAGAGAAATAATGAGAAAGAAAGATAAGAAATTATTATTTATTTATATTCAACTCCGCCCATTGTATTTAAAGGTTATGTATGTTATTACCCTGTTAGGCATTTTCCTTCATTTTGCCTACATACTAAACCACATTAGTCCAACAGTTCTTGATCATGGATTTCCATTTTCTGCATCTAATTCACGCCATTCTTTTCAACCTTGCTTGCTCAGCAGCCAGTTATCATTGCTAAATATGGAAGAGTAATTTTGATTTTCTGCCTTTGTTTTAAAAAAAAAAGTAGTGACCTCCAACTATTGAAAGATGCAGCACAATTTTCATATTGTGGCACATGATTATTCTTGCCTTCTCTTCTACTAGAATGGCTCTAATTTTTATTAGAAATAAAACATGGCTGAAGTATTGATGTATCTAGAGCAAGTTAGTTGGATATTAATAGTGTGTTCCTCCACTTTCCAGTTGATACCAGTGCAGCCAGACTTGTGGCTGAGTAATAGATTGGAGGTCAATGTTTTGACCAGAGAATGGTTTTTGGCCTGTATATTTTTGAAGGGATTCCTACAATGGCTGAGTGGGTTCGGTCATTGATCAGTCAAGTATGTGTCCTAAAGAGTCTCTGGCTCCAAGTCTCATCTGTTGATTTATGTTATCTCACAGTTAAAATTTCCTGAATGAGCTTGTAATAAAAATACAAAAAATCACCACAGCTCTAACTTTTCACTGCTTAATCTGGGGCTGTTGCTGGAAGTGTGCATGCGTAGACATCAGGTGAGAATAATTCTGGTGGACCAAAAATCTCTTATCCTGTTAAACTTTCTTTTCTGAAAGAAGAAACATAATTAATATAGGAGACAGTTTTGTTTTTGCAGGTTGGAATTGATCTTGTCAAGTTTTCTTTTCTTCCCCTGGAGGTGATCTGTATAGTAGCTGGAGAGGACGAGTATGAAGTCTGAGATTGGAGATTGGACATTGACTGGCAGTGCAGTGATGCAATTTCTGAGTTACCAAGCAATTCGTACTTTAAGACATTTTAACAGATTTAGCTCAGAAATTGAAACTCTCAGCAACATGGTTGACTGGATTTTGTTCATTCCAGTGGTGTTATACTAGCAGCCATTTTGAAAATTTATTTTAAATTTTGTGATGTCTTGAAAGCTTTAAACATAAATGCAAGATCCAAGCACCATCTCTACCCTGTTTAGCATTGTCTCCATCTCCTCACTATCTCTCTTGGCAATGTTCACGGGTGCTCTATTTAATTGATTAGTTACAATGGATTTGGAAATCTGTATCCTAAAAGGGCCATTAACGTTTGGTCAACTGAGATTTTTGAGACGAGATTGTACATTGAGCAAGAATGTCAAGGGATGTGGAATGAAGTTAAGATATGGATGATATAACAGTGGTACAAGCAATGTACTAGCAGCTAGATGGTCTTTTCTTGCTCCTGCTTTGCCATGTATGTTTCAAACGTTTTTTGATATAGTTTAATCATTTAGAATAAATGGTTTGAGATCTTTGTATCTGACATTAAGAATCTCTAAACTCATGACACAATTAATTATTAATTTGGTATTAGTTATATAGTATGTTTTCTTATTACAATATATTTTAATCCAGTGATCTCTCAATGTTTGGTAGCATTTTCAGATGACAGTAGACCATATAATTACAATCCAAAATATCCCCAGTTACCGAACCTTACATTTCTAAAACTACTAATCTTGAAACTTTCTTAGTGACAGGAGTTGTAAATTTTAAATAGCAAATTTGAAAAGTACTGTTGTATTTCCTCTACATGATTCTAATGTTAAAATGAAGCCGTTTTCATTTTTTGTGATTGGTGTTTATTAAATGCACATATTTTTTGATTTTTATTGAAAATTAATACTCAGTTTGAATTTTCTTCTGGTTTTCTGATCTCATTTTATGTATGATTTATTTTTGTGTAAATGCTCCTTTAAAAGAATAATAATCCTGTCACTCCCAAAGGAGGCGTAAGTAGAAAAACTGCTCCCTGCTCAATCACCTATCTCCATGCCACAGGTGTTATTTGTCCACCATTCCTTCTTGCTGTCTGCCTCCCTCCACTGCGTTGTTCTCTCCCCTGGTCCTTGTCCATTTCTGTAAGAATTTCTTCTGTCACTGACCTTTTGGTACCTGACAGACTAGAAAAATCCATAAATCATTTTGGAAAAGAGCTAATCCTTCATTGAATCTAAATTAGGGCGCAGCTTTTATTGGGTAACTGCCTTGAAACTGCTAGCCCATGTTTGAAACACCAAACTTGTCAGAAGAAATTGAACACTAGAAAAGAAACTAGGGACTTGATAGAAAGAGTGATTGTCCCCGTTTTGTAGTTTTCTGGCCAGAATTTAAACTGGTTTTGTTTATCATCTTTCCTAACCTTCTCCCGCAGAGGCTCAGTGTCTTCCATTTCCACCTGTGAAGCACTGCTGACCTCTTCCTTTTCCTTTTCTGTCTTAGGAACTAAGTAAATGCAAGTTGTTGATCACCCTGCTCTAATGAGTCATAAACTGTGACAGTTGGGCAGATGAGCAGGCAATTGCTTAAAGCTAAAATACCTTTTTTTTTCAGGTTTAAAATAAAATTTCCCTTAATTCAACTTGTTCACCAGTAGGATTAATATCGCTTCAAACCTGCATTAATCCATTTTCAGAAGTATTTTCAATAATACTGAAATAAAGAATAATGGTTCAGCCATGAGGATCATCAGTAAAGTCCTGCCTTGTTACATTCTTAGAGTTTGTTTATCTATGTACAACTAGAGTAAATTTTCAAATGTCTTTCAGGATCACAATTGCTCCGTGAGCTGAAAAAGATGGATGATAAGGCACTGTTGGTGGAAGTTCAGCTGTTGGAGAGTAAAACATATCATGCTTTGAGTAACTTGCCAAAAGCACGAGCTGCCCTGACCTCAGCACGAACAACTGCAAATGCAATCTATTGCCCACCCAAACTACAGGCTGCCCTTGATATGCAGTCAGGTATGGAACAAATAAAACTTTTTAAATTTTAGCTTTCTCTTTAAGCATCACAGTAGAAATTTTCCTTCTGTTTATCCCTCAGTCACGCCCCTGTTAAAGTTATGATGTCAATGTGATCATTCACAATAAATTAATCAATGGTCCAGGCTTTACTGATGAGTGACTGTACAGTCTGGAGTCAAGTGCAGAGAAAAGGTAATGATGGCTGAATTACGGCAGAATCCAAACAGTTAGAACTTCTAAGGGGGATTAGAAGCAGGTCAGAAATACTAGCCCCTAGAAAGTGCACAAAGCTAATGGGGTTGTTGCTTCTAAAAAAAAAACAGTAAGTGCCTGAGTCAGATTATTGGAGGATGGCAAGAGAGAAATAGAGAAAAGTTGCAGAATTATTTGAGGAAATAAGCCTATGTTAGAGTAAGTCAGTGATGAAATATTGGGTTTTGTGAATGTAGGACACCCGAGGACAGATTTTTTTAATGAAAGAATGAGGGTCAGATGGATGGAGAGAAAAGGGCAGACAGAAGTGATGGTGCAGGCAAATAGATTTGGAAAGACAAGTGATGTGGATACTTGTTAGATCAAGATTGTTTAGCTTTTAAGTTCACAGTAAGTGGAGACAAAGTTTTAAAAAATTGGATAAAGCTGATGTCAGTCTGATGGAATTGGAGACAGTGCTCAGCTATGAGAATAATGAGTAAAATATGACCTTGGAACAGATTAAAATAGCGATGCATCTGTTTCCAATAATGCACACTTTTTTCTTTAATAGTGACTGCTTGATTTCACAAAAAGGTAAAACATTGGTGCTGGGGATGGATCTCTGACTATCAATATTGATAAATATAAAAGTCACAATAAGAAAGTGCCAAATATCTGAGAATCAAGAAACATTGTAATGAAACAATTTGGTAGTTCTCTATTAAGCTTGAAGGTAATAAATTGTATGATTGAAAAAAAAAATGCCCGACTGTTCCTGTTGGTAGATCAAAAACCAAGTTGAGAAGTCACCACCCCAAGGTAAGGCCCTTGAGTGGCAGCTGAGATTTAAGTGAGGCAGCCTGAGACTGTGGGACATGTCCTTCAGCACCAGCCACTCCTCCACACCAATAGTGGCAGCTGGTTGAAAGTAACTTGGCCCTGTGAGGTATATCAATGTTATTAACATCACTGTTTATTTTTCCAATTACTACACTGTTTAAAACAGATGTGATTTAATTAACTGCATTTCATCCATTTGACAGTACATTTGTTATTCAGCACCATTTCTATCAGAGAGCCAACTCGCCTACTGCTGTGAAATTTTCAAACCTGGGATACAGCCATAGGAGCTGTGAAACCTGAGGAGCCTACCTACAGACAGTTGTTATTGCTGCCACATTTGTACGCTATTAAAGGGATGAATTTCAGTGATTACAGAACTGTCATGGATGAAATTGAGTTAAAGTAGTTTTATAGGCTACGATTGAAAATGCAATTAAAATGTAATGCCACATATTGCAACATATAATGATCCTGGAGATTAGAGAAGTTTTTTTAGTAATTTATTAGTAACCCTCTTTTTGTTAAGAGATAACAGGTATATCATTTTGCATTGGCACAGTTGTTCACTCTTCTAGAGTCAGGAGTTCATTGGTTCATCTCTTACTCTAGAGATTTGATCATATAATCTAGGTTGACACTTTAGTGCAGTATGAAGGAGTGATGCTGTGTTGGAGGAGCTGTTTTTCTGATAAGATGGAAAACCAAGATGTTACCTAGCTTTTTTCTTCATTCATTCATGGGATGAGGGCATCGCTGGCTAGACCAGTATTTATTGCCCATTCCTAATTGCCCAGAGGTTGGTAAAGAGTCAACCACATTGTGTGTTTGGTGTCACATATAGGACATACCAGGTAAGGATGACAGTTTCCTTCCCTAAAGGACATTAGTGAACTAGATGGGTTTTTCCTGACCATCTACAATGGATTCATGGTTTATCATCAGACTCTTAATTCCAGGTTTTTTTGGATTGAATTCAAATTCCACCATCTGCAGGGTCCCCAGAATATTAACTGAGTTTCTGGGTTAACAGTCCAGCGATGATGCCACTAGGACATCACCTCCCCTTAGCTTTTCAGGATATAAATAATATTTTCATCTTTTTTCTTTTTTCTAAAGAATAAAAGGCTGAGGAATTCTTTTTCAGGTAAATACTTCCAGTAAATATGTATCCTCAAGCCAAGATCACTAAAACCTGGCTACCATCACATTGCTATTTGTGGGACTTCCTATGCCCAAATAGAATGTATTTTGGCACAACTGGGGGTCATGAAGGTGTCTTACACATGCAAATCTATCCTCTTAAAGTTTTTTTATTTCAGCATTAAGATCATCACTTGTATTGCATAGTGTTTTTTTTTGTATAAGACAATTTGGCTTGGAAATTCTGTATTGCAGAGAGTCTTACAGTCATAGTCATACAGCATAAAAACAGTCCCTTTTGACCAGTTAGTCCATGACGACCATGTTTCCAACTAAACTAGTCCCACTTGCCTATATTTGGCCCACATCCCTTCAACCTTTTTCTATGCATGTACTTATCCAAATGTTTTTTAAATGTGGTAATTGTAGCTGCATCTACCACTTAATCTGGCAGTTCATTCCAAACGCAAATCATTCTATATAAAAGAAAAGTTGCACCTCATGTCCTTTTTTTTTTTTTAAAACTTTCTCCTCTCACCTTTTAAAAATGCCTCCTAGCTTTGAACTCCTCAACCCTAACAAAAATACCCTTATCTATGCCCCTTATGATTTTATAAACCTCTGTACGGTCACCCCTTAACCTCCTGTGCTATGGTTTTTAAAAAAGTCTCAGCCTGTTTTTTATAACTCAAACCCTCTCTTCCCAGCAACATCCTGGTAAATCTAAACCCTGTCTAATTTAGTAATATCCTTCCTACAACAACAGGATGAGGAGAACTGCACACAGTAGTCCAGAAAATGCCTCACCAATGTTCTGTGCAACCTCAACATGAATCCTGTACTATACCACTTCCCTTTTTAAAGAGATAATTTGCTTGCCCAGCCTTTTGCCACGAGCATAACACCCTTTCCTTTACTTCTCTTGAAAAGGTTGACTTTTTTCTTGAACACCATTCTATAAAAGGCAAGATTCTTTTCTGGTACTACAACTAATTAGTTAACCTTCATGTGAGTCTCAACCAACTACTCTGTAGTATACACTTCAGCAGGAGTCATCGAATCGTGACCAAATGCATGAACACCAGCTAGCTTTTCTTCATAAATTTGGGAATATTATGGTCAGTTGCATGATCTATCAGCCTGCTTTCTGAAATCTGGATGTTAGTACAATTTTGAGATCAAACCTTGAAACTCTTGTGATCTAAATGGCCCACTTGTTCATTGACTTCATCAGTTGAGTCATTAAGTAATAAAAGAATCTAGCTTTTTGAAGCATTCTTGTTCTGTTAAATTATTTTAACCTTGTAACTGTCCAAATGGAGTTGCCTGTGCATATTTTTCTGTTAGAGGTATATAATGAGGATGTAGTTGATCCAAGCAAAAAAGGTAGATGCTCACAAATTAGAATTGCATTAATCTGAGATTTTTGTTTCTAGGTATTATCCATGCTGCTGAAGAGAAGGACTGGAAGACTGCTTACTCCTATTTTTATGAGGCATTTGAAGGATATGATTCTATTGATAGTCCCAAAGCTATCACAGCATTGAAATATATGCTGCTGTGCAAAATTATGTTAAATACGTAAGTTTGAAAGATTTTTATCAAAATTGCTGAATTCAACATTCCCTTAGTTCATAAGTGAATCAAGGGATGTGAGGTTAGTGCAAGAAGGTAGAGTTCAGGTAGATGACCAGCCATTTTCACAGCAACTGTTGATACAGGCCTTTGCATTATATTTCACGTAGGGAAAGTATTGGGCATATTAAACTAAAACCTTGTGATGTTATTGCCTGAAGGTACAACAACTGATCTTGGAGGTAATACTGCCGCTGGTGGTGCAATTCACTTGATTCTAGTTTCTTGATTGTTAGTGAAAATTTTAGTAACACATTCTCCTTTCTCTTTACTGTTATTTTTGAAGATCAAGAAATATCATACTTGTAGTTTTGACAATGCTTGTGGAGCTAAGGTTGCAGTAGCTTTAGCTTTATTGTGGATGTTCACCATACCGTGAATGTCTCTTAAAGATAAGATGTTCCGATTTGACAGAGTTGCCCTACCATTGCCGTTCTTTTGGACAGGGCTGAGGCCATTAGAAATAATGAAGCTTGCTGTAAGGCTGAACTTTAGAAAATCGTAATTGAAAAATGGTTCTCGTAGCAATTTTACAAATGTGTATTCTTTGTTTTTCCTCTCAGACCAGAAGATGTCCAGGCATTGGTGAGTGGGAAGCTAGCACTCCGATATGCTGGGCGACAGGTAAAGTACAAATTCAATGTTACTTAATTTCCAAAACGGGTGGGGAAGGAAATGAGGCCAAATATGGATTTTGTCTGTTACACTCAGATTGTTTTAAGTACTTCATTGTCAATTTTCCTGGAGTAAGACATAACTTCCTCCTTGTCTTCCATAATGAAGAATTGCAGAGCAATCTGTTCATAGATGGGCTAATTGCTTTTGTAAGCTTTTGTCATTCATGCAGTCAGGCTCCAGAGTTGACTTGATTTCCACTTTCTATACGAGTATAATAGTTGATGATATTGGGGCCTGTCAGGAAATGATTCACTCAATAGACTAGTTTTAATGGGTAAACAAAGACTGTATTTGAAGAAAGCAAGGTAGAGTTATCTAAAGGTATTTACTGAGCATCCTTTTTTTTTTTTTGCAAACATGTTAACAACATTTGGAAAAACAGATGTGAAGAAAAGTATTTGGTACTGCTGAGATAACAAGGTGTAGAGCTGGATGAACACAGCAGGCCAAGCAGCGTTGGAGGAGCAGGAAAGCTGACGTTTCAAGTCAAGACCCTTCTTCAGAAATGGGGGAGGGGAAGGGGATTCTGAAATAAATAGGGAGAGAGGGGTAGGCGGATAGAAGATGGATAAAGGAGAAGATAGGTGGAGAGGAGACAGACAGGTCAAAGAGGTGGGGTTGGAGCCAGTAAAGGTGAGTGTAGGTGGGGAGTTAGGGAGGGGATAGGTCGGTCCAGGGAGGACGGACAGGTCAAGGAGGCGGGAGGAGGTTAGTGGGTAGGAGATGGGGCTTGAGGTGGGAGGAATGGTTAGGGAGGCGGAGACAAGTTGGGCTGGTTTTGGGATGCGATCAGGGGAGGGGAGATTTTGAAGCTTGAAGTCCACATTATTGGTACTACGGCTTCTTTTCCAATGCAGTATCTGAATCAGTTTCCCACCTTTCTCTCCAGGCCTGGATCTCTGGTGTATTAGTAGTTGAGCACAATTTCATTTTTCCACCCACTTTTCCTGTCTCTTAAAGCTGTTCTTCAGACTGGAAGATTTCTGCATTTCATCCAAAAAACCTTGACTTACCAAATGTTCAACAGTAATGGGCAAAAACTTAATACTACCTATGCACTTCTGACCAGACTCCCAAAGCCCAGGATTGTTGATTGCAGCAATTGTTGTGCTAAGATTACTTGATTCATCAATAATTAAGGATCAAATTCACAACCTTCTTGGTCTATTTGCCATGGTCCCACCACTGATGCATTTACCCATTACCCTATCAAGTGAGCATGTCATTTCAGAAACAATTTTGTAACATAGAAGAAAGATGGGCTGTGGAGAACCTGGGATTCAAGCCCAACGTTTGGCCGATAGACACTTTGTATAAATACTTGTGTTTTTATATTTTGTATTTGTGTGGACCATGTTGAACCATGCAAATAATGTGGACCAAGAAGGCAAAGAGTGTGTTCATCAGCATAAAAAGCATCAAATTTAGTATTGGCTCTTAATGTAACTGAAAAACATGATGGGAAAGCACAAAATAGCATTTGCGTAGAATAGAAGTTGGTTTTGAAATAGCGAGGAAAGTAAGTTATCAGCTTGCTGTCTTTTCTTGGTCCTGAAATAAACACTCAATTGAATTTTGTGTTATTATCCTTTGGAAAAAATCTAGGATGAAATGATATGTAACTTTAAGACACAGATGGGTATGTCATAAAATAGTGTTGTTATTTTTTGCTTCTGGTATTTTTAATTTGTGATTTGATAGACTAACTAGAAATTTCATCTCCACTCATGGTTATCTTTTTTATTTTAAGACTGATTCGCTAAAATGTGTGGCCAAAGCAAGTAAGAATCGATCACTGGCTGATTTTGAAAAGGTAAGTTGTCCAAAAAACAACTAATGAGAAACTTCACTGATAATTGATGGTATGCAGAGCCTAGAGTAGAGAGATACTGTTTGTTAGGGGCTTTAAGTTCTAGTTAACGGGAAAGAATTGATGTGTTTGCCTTTGCATTGCACAACATTTATATGGAGAACTTTAACTATTTGTGGAGGAAATGGTTTCAAAGTGAAGTTGAAACTTAAAGTGGCCTGTGGGCCACCCAGTATAGAACATGTCTATGAAAAGTTTTCAACTGGACAACAGTGTGTAAAATTATCCATATAAGGAATGGGGAAGCATTTTTCCTGACATATATCCTCCTCTTTGTACTTACAGGTGAGCTGCAAATGTACACAATATTTGATGCAGTTTTGGGGATGGGAGGGTGAGAGTTGCCACTGAGCATTCTACAAAAGCAACAGCCTTTTCTTGATAAGGGATTTACAGCTGAATGTGTACACCCCCAATTGAAAATGGAGATCATGGCACATAGGAGTACATGAATTCTGCTTTGTAAAATTGAATAAAAACATGATCAAAAATTAAAAATCTGGGTTCTAATTTTGTTTGCTATTTATAACAGAAAGTACTTCCCAGCTGGTTCTGTTATCACCATATGCTGAGCATAGATGGTGACAATACGTTTTTGTAAACTTGGTGCGTTGAACCAGATTTTGGTCCCCAAACTGTTGTTCAGTGGATGTTACCAGAAGTTATTCTGAATGGTATTTGACTGCATCCACCTGAATTGCAATTGTTCTTAAAGGCTGTCTGACTTTAATATAGCTATGTTGATTTTTTTTTTGTGTACGGCAAGCTTGTTTGACTAGAGAATAGAGTAAATGCTGTTTCATTGTTATTGCAGCTGTCCAATAGGCTTGAATTTTCTACTTGGGTGGTTAATGATTAATTTTCCACAGTGACTTGGTAGTTTAATGGAATAAACATAATCGTTTTGAAATCAAATTCTAAATTCAGACAGTCTGGCATATCACTCAGACTTTGAATGATTTTCTGTTAGTTTAAGTAGCATCTTTCATGACCACAATGTCCCAAACCACTTGACAGCCAAAAAAGTGCTTTTGCAGTGTGGTCAATCGTTTAATGTAGAAACACAGCAGCTAATTTGCAACCATCAAGTTCCCACAGACAGCAGTGTGTGATGATCTGTGATAATTGATATTAAATATTGGCTAGGGTACCTGAGAAGACATTCCTTTTCTTTGTCACACTGCCACCATGAGTCTTTTGATCTACCAGAGAGCAAATGGAGCTTCAGTTTCTCATATCAAATGATTGTACCTCTGACAGTGCAGCATTCCTTCAGTATTACTCTGGGAGTTCAGGAAGTACTTTTCACTGTCAATTAAAATTCTGCTGTTCTGATTCACAGGCTTTAACAGATTTCCAAGCAGAGCTACGGGATGATCCGATTATCACCACACATCTGGCAAAGCTGTATGACAACTTATTGGAGCAGAATCTTATCAGAGTGATTGAGCCTTTCTCCAGAGTTCAGGTAATTGCAAGTATGTGAATGAAATAAGTTTCCATAGTATTTGTATTCAACAGGTCTTGGATCCATTCTGAAATTAATTCTAACTCTATGACCTTAAGACAAGAAGGTTTCGTCAGTGTAACTTGCATGGTCTGAAGGTTTAAAGTTGCCCCATGTTGTCATTTTATGTTTGTTCGATGAATGGGGCCTGTATTCTGGCTTGGACCCACGAGATTTGTTGCCAAGTCATTTTGGGTCGGTATGTCTGGCCATGTGTGCCAAATCAGGGCCAATTTGGATTGGCATCTACTACGTAACTCATCATCTTGCTGTTCCCACTAACTTGTGGTTTCTAGCTGTCTTAGTGGTCATGTTTCTTGTTGACTGTCCTGTTCGACAACTCTGCCACCTATCTCTCTTCCCTCACCTGAACATAAAAGGAGGAGTAGCGCCCACTAGGAACCAGAGTTTACGCATGTAGCCAAGAGGCATAGCTGGGATATTAAATGAATACTTTGCGTTTGTCTTTACAAGGTAGAAGTTACCCAGACCGTGATGACAGGAGAAAATCTTGAATTAAAATTGAAGAGAAATTGGATAAGTCATCAGTAATTAGAGTTAATAAACCAGGATTGGATGAGATGCATCATGGGCATTGAATGAAGTGAGTGTGGAAATTGCAGAGTCACTGACAAAAATTTTACAATTTTTCCTGTATTAAGAGGTGATGCTGGAGGATTGGGTAATTGGAAACATGACCACCTTGTTCTCGAAAGGTTGTAAAGATTGGTCCAGCAATTTTGACCAGTCAGTTTAACTTCACTGATGGGGCAGCTTCGAGAAAGAGTTACTCCAAATAGAACTAATTGTCACATGGTAAAATGTAGATTGACTCAGGAGTCAACACCTATTTAAGGGAAAATCATATCTAACTGACTTGCTGAAAGGTTTTGGAAGAGGTAAGAGAGGATTTTGAAGGCAAGACTACTGGTGTGGTGTGCATGGACTTCCAAAATATACTTGATACAATGCCCTGAAACACGCTTTTTTGAGGAAAGTGATAAATTCAGGAATGAAAAGGGCAGTATTAATGTGCATACAAAATTGGCAGAATAATAGGATATGATGTATTGATTAATGGGTGTAATTGGGTTGGAAGGAAGTTTGTAGTGCAGCTCCCCAGGGACAATGTTGGGACCCTTGCTTTTCCTGGTTTTACATAAATGATATAAATCTTGATGTGTAGTGGGCCATTTCAGTTGCAGCTAACACACAACTTGGAGAGTTGTACACCTGAGGAACACCATATAGATCTTCAAGAAACACATTGATGGACGGACTGGAGGCAGTTTGTCAGATGAAGCTCAATGCAGAGAAATGAGAGGTGATGCACTTTTGCATGAAGAACACTATAAAATAAAGGTTCCATTCTAAGGGGAGTGAAAGAACAGAGACTTGGGTGAATGTCATTAAAAGTGGAAGGACAGAGAAAACTGCTAACAAAGCACACAGTATTCTAAGCTTCATTGATAGAGCCATAGAATACAAGGGCAGGGAGGCAATAATGACCTTGAATAAGACACTGGTTAAAACACAGCTGAAGTTTTGTGTATGGTTCTGGGCACCATACTGTGGAAAGGATGGGAATGCATTGGAGAGAGTGTAGAAGAGGTTTATGTGAACGTTTCCAGCGTTGAGACCCTTCAGTTATGAAGAAAGGTTGAAAATGTTGAATTTGTTTTCCTTCGAGGAGAAAAGATTTGATATGGTTTCAATATCAAAAGGGGTCTGGTTAGACTAGATGGGGAACAATAATTTCTGCTTGCAAACAGCTGGAGAGGCAGAGGGCACTGTTTTGAGTGATTTTATTTTTCAGAAATAGATGCAGTGAGATAAAGCATTTTCACACAGCAAATATATTGAATCTGCTTACACTGCACTTCAAAGGCAACCTAGATTTTTTGTGCTCAAATCTCAGATTATGGCTGGCCCCCTTGTGTTTTATTTGTGCCTCAGGGCAACAACATAGATTCTATAGGAGTCATATTTTGGTACAGCTCCTTCATTAACAGTTGTCTGGGAAATATAATGCAGGCAGGTTCAAATTGAGGAATTTAAGAGGGCATTGGATGATTATTTAAGTGGAAAGTGTGCAGAATTATGGGGAAATGCACGGATTTGGTAATAAATTAAAATATCCTTGGCAAACGTGATGGGCTGAGCAGCCTACTCCTGCCACATAATAATCTTTGTGGTGAATCAGAGAGCTATGGCAGCAGGACCCTGGGTATGTGACTGCAGTGAGCAGATCAATTATAACAGTCCCAGCCCAGCATTTCAACGCCATTGGGATTCACTCTTTCTTGCTCTGAGTTCCAGCTTCAGAGCCTTTAGTGTCAGTAAAAGAAGCTCCTCAGTCCAGATTAAGCTATCAGAGTTGTTTGAACCCTGAAGCATTTCAAAATTGTGAACGTTAGAAGGCTGCATTATTGCAATAGAAATAGCCAAGACTCGGAACAGAGTCCTTATAGGGAATACGATATGAAGAAGTGTCATTTGGAACGTTGAGTAAGTCAGAGACTTTATAGTCATTTTGGGAGCACACTTTCAACAGAAATGGGGACACGAGTTGAGGGATGGAAAAATTGGAGGTATGCATACTTTACAATGTTGAGTTGTTTAGTACCATCTGTAATTTCTTGGATACTGAAAGTCGGGTGTTCACACACCACAATCAGAACTGAATATCATCCAGGTTTGGTTGATGTGTGGCATGAATGTGGCTGGATACCTGTGTGGCAAGCAATGCCCATTTCCAACAAAAGAATCTAATCTCCTCCCCTTGAAATTCAATGGCACTGCTATCACTGAATCTGCCAACATGTGACTGTTAACATTTAGCGGACGTAGCATTGACCAGGAACTGACCTGGACTAGCCATATAAATATTGTGACGAAGACCAAATCCGAGACTGGGAATTCTGTGGCGCATGACTTGCCTCCGGATTTGCCAAAGTCTGTCTACCACATATAATCACAAATCAGGACAGTGACTGAATAGTCTCCACTTGCCCAGCTGAGTACGCCTCCAACAACACACTGAACTCGACTGCATTCAGGACAAAGCAGCCTGCTTGTTTGGTACCCATCCATCACAGGTAAACATCCACTAATTCCATTACCAATACACAGCAGTAGCTGTATGTACTGCATACATGCTGCAATGCAGCAACTTGCTAAGTCTTCTTTGATAGCACCTTCCAAACCCATGACTTCTACCATGGATGTTTGAGGTTGACATCGCCTGCAAGTTTCACTGTCTTGACTTGAAACTGTATCACCTTACATTGTCAATAGGTCAACATCTACACCTCTTCCAAACAGCATTGTGGGTAAACCTGTACCACATGGACTGCAGCAGTGCAAGAAATGCTCATTGCCATCATCTCAAAGGCAATCAAGGATGGATAACAAAGGTTGACCTTTCCAGAAGCTTAAAATTTTGTAAAAGAATTTAAATAAAATAGTCACAGTTTTCACACCACAGAAGGACAGCTGTGTGGCCCATCAAGTCCATGATGGCTCTTAGTGCAGCAGTCTGGTCAGGCCCATTTACCTCACATCTATCCTTGTAACCCTGCAAATTTGTTACCCACCGATTTCTTTGAAAAGTTATCGGTCGTCTTGACTTCTGCCACACTTAGAGCATTGGCCAATTCTCTGCCACTGGATAATGACATTTTTTTCCTGATGGTCCAGCTGTATTTGTTGCCCAAAATCTTAAATCTGTACCTAATTACTATTGGGTAAAAGGCAGCTCCTCCCAAAAACCATTCTCTCATATTCTTGTGCATCTCTCTGAACTCCCCTCAACCCTCTTTACTCCAAGGAGAATAACCCAATTCTCAAACCTGACCTTGTTGCTAAAATCATTTTAATTGGAAGAATCATTCTGGTAAATAATAGAATTAGGTTTATTGTCACATGTACTGACATGAGTACAGTGAAATGTTTACAAAGTCAACACTTACGGTATCATCTAATGTAAAAAGGTACAAAATCTTAGCAATAAATTAGAAAAACAAAGATATTAAAAGTTCAGCATTACAGTCCTTCAAGCAAACCATGCCTCACCTCCTATGCGTGCTGGGACCTTGCCTCTGCGACCCATTGTGTCCCCACTGTGTATCTTTTCAAGGATCTTCGTAGCCTTCCTAAAATGTTATGACTGGATTCATTATTTTGTAGGGGTCAAGCCAGAGCTTTATGAAGAATCAGTATTAGTTATTTTGCCTTTGTGCTCAATACCTCTATTTATGCAGCTTTATGATTTTCTAGCCATCAAATTATTGCTATGTATGGTTCCAAGCATTTTCAAACTGGCCATTGTTGTAGAATAAAGACTGCATACTGGACACTTTTTGAACTGTTACTTTGTGTATTTTATGTTCATGTTTATAAGTATTTAGAGCACAGTATTTTTGGCCAGTTCTTTTGAACAAAAGAGGTAACTTGTTTGGATGCTTTATCATGTTTTGATGCTTGCGTGCCATTATGACACATGAATTGTAACTGTTCCTTTTTAATTGTCTTTTTTTATTGGTGACTTGGAGACTGAAAATAATGTCTTTTTCTTAATCTTACAGATAGAACACATAGCAAGTATTATAAAACTATCCAAGGTAAGTGATCATCTATATTTAAGTAGGACATGCAGGATTCTGAGTCTTGAAAATCACTTTGTCTCATGTGATAAAGTTCAACTGAAGATGAGGATGTCAGTCCAAAATTTTAACATGTATTCTAGGCTGAAACTTTATTGAACTGCAAGGAAAATATTCAACCGAAATCTGCTCTGTTATTACTAATGTGTTATTCAAACATTGTTGCTTCGTTGCAAAATTCACCTTTCAACCAGCACACAAACAGGTTAACTGATCATTGATTGTGTTTGAGGTCTTGGTGTGGGTAAAATGACTGCCACATTTTTCTACATGTACCTTGTACCTCGTTAAAGTAATTCATTAAGTTTATATACGCTTAAAAGAATTTGAGATATAAAAAATGTTGGCAAAGTTGAGCAACAGCGTTTTTAAATAACCTTATTGAGCTGTCACTAAAACCGTATGACTCCAAACTAAAGCATTTTTCTTCAGCTCTGTCTAAATGTAATAGATGAGTATTTTGAGCCTTTTCAGACCAAGAAGATCTCATATATTCCTCCTCCTTTCACTCAGTCAGTTGATTTTAGCCAAATTGCTACAATTGGCTTCATTGCCATGGTTAAGGAGGGGAATTCTTAGCAGTGTTTCTAACCTTCAGTTTTATCCAGGTATACCACCACCTCTTAAATTTCTTGTGATGTAGTGATCTGATGCCAGAAATATTGGACTTAAGAATATTGGAGACTGGAACTGAATTAATATCAAGAGGAGAGAGAATTTGGAATTTACAAATAGTTTTTGCGGTACAGTTAGTGTAATTATCTCCTGTAGCAATTGGAGATGGGATTAATTTGTCATCTTGATGTTTCCCCAGATATTTGAGAATTTATATTCTGCACGTTTCATAAAAAAAGTGAGAATTCTAAGTAATGATTGAAGAGAGTTACTTACAATATCTTTGCTCCTCTATTATAATCTGTTTTCTGAATGTTTCTAAACTGATACAATATAACTAGGAAAGTTTCAACGCTTAATTTGGCATCCTCCACCTTCATGTGCGTAGCATCTAAAAATAAAACCGGGTTATCTCTTTTTGCTCAGAACTGAAGGTCTTGTTTTTGATTTTTGTTTTCAACAGGAAAACTGCAGATTTATTTTTACTGTTGCAGTGTGTCAGCTGGTCTCCATCATACTTTAGTATTTCAAAGCTAAGCATAAAAAATCTCCCTTGCCTTCCAGTATCTCTTGCTATTCTACGGTTCCACTGGAGGTGTATTCGGAGTTGGGAATGAATGGCAAGACATGCTGAATAATTGCACCGTACTCTATTACAGTATACATGGTTGTCTAGATCATATGTAGAGCTTCAATCATTGACCTCCTGGATTAAGGCCCAAGAAGTTCTGAATTATCAACCACAGTAGCAATCTTGTAGCTAGATAGTTTTAAACTTTAATCCGGTTCTTTGAAGAGTTTGAGTGCTTATCTTAGATTGAAAAAGAAGTGTGTACCTTTATTTCTGCTCACTCATGAAATTTAACATGGTCACAACTTATTATATGATGTGGTGGAGATCCGGAAATCCATAACAGGGGAATGTTGTGTTTTGAATACCTCAAAGAAAAGTCTGTATTCATCCTTGGAACTAATGGTTGTAGGGCATTTCCTGAAGTGGAACTGAAATGTTGAAACTTTAACATTACATTGACTTAAGTTGGTGAGAGCTTGTTTATTTTGAAATTTTCTAAATTCCTGAATCTCTTATGTGGCTCCTTTCTAAACTTTATTTTATTGGATTTGAAATATCATTGGCTCTGATTCAGCCAAGAACGGTTTCTTTTTTTAAAAAAAAAGGAAATTTGCATTAGACAATTCAACCAAAATGACATTGTCAGATGGACAATTGTTACATGTGACTTGGACTTAACACAATCCTGTTATTCCAGGGTGATGTGGAAAGGAAACTCTCTCAGATGATCTTGGACAAGAAATTTCATGGTAAGCATTGAACAGTTCTTGCAAGAACACAGGAGAAACGACCACAAAGTTAAAATCATACCCAGCTCCGAAAACACCATAATTGTTAATGACACAACTTTTCCATGTAACTGGTTTAAACATAGGCAAGACATGGTTCCAATTACAATTTGAAATCTGAATTATGCGAAACCTTTCAAGGGCTAACTTTTTGTCAAGAGTTACCTTTGTCTCTTTTTTTTTAGTTCTCCTTAATAAATCATCTCTCAAGACAGGTATGATTTAAACTTTGATCAAATCTCTTGTTCCAAATAACTTTTCACCTGTTCCAGATAGGACTGAAATATTAGCTGCAGGTGGTATTATAGTTCCAGTATGCAGTTCCATACTGCATGTCCTTTGGTGGGAAAAACTTTGTTTTGGCTGCAGAGTAAGAAAAACTGCAGAAATTATAGTTTTGTTAAAGTTTTTAAAATGATATTGACTTGTCAGCTTTAGCCCATTGCAGATTAAGATTTAGCCAACTGACCTGTGTTGGTAGTCTGCACAAAAGAAAATTGTCTTGAAGATTTGGCATTTGTTATTGCAACCTTTATCAGTATTGTGCGTCCAGTATCTTTGCTGTTATCATAGTAGATATTGTACATTCATATTCTTACTTCCTTAGATGTAAGAAAAAGAATTTGTAATCTGTCTAGAAACCAGAAGAAAGTTGTTTTCAACAATTTATATTATAGGTCATGTTTGTGTTTTTTGCTTGTGTTTGTAGGTATTTTAGACCAAGGCGAAGGAGTCCTGATTGTGTTTGATGAGCCTCCAGTAGACAAAACGTATGAAACTGCGCTTGAAACAATCCAGAATATGAGTAAAGTAGTGGACTCTCTCTACAACAAGGCAAAAAAACTAACATAGGTAAGTGTAATGTAATGCAAGGGACAGGTCTCTTTTTAAAACAAAATCTGACATGTAGTGTCCAGCTGATGTGTGACTATACATTAGAGACAATGCATTATTCACATGCAAATATGGTATCATTTTATAAAATTGGACATCTTCCAATATTTTCCTCTGTTTTCAGTTTGTGCAGCTGCTTGGCAAGGCAGAAATCTTGAGGAACTAGAACTGTGAGCCTGTACCCCATATTTTTAATGTTAAGACTGAATTTGGTCAAAAGTTTAGGTAGGCGCCTTTCCCAGTTACAGTGAGATCCACAGTAGAAACCATTGTTTTCAAAACCCGTCTGGCTAACAAGTGACTCCAGACCCACAGCAATGTGGTTGATTCTTAATTGCTCTGTCAGCAGTTTAAGGATGTCAGTAAATGCTGACTTGGCCAGTGATGGCCTGAGAATGAATTTTATTTTAAAATTCAAAAGGATTATTTAATTTACTTCCACATTTTTTCTATATAATAAAGCAACTTTCATGCAGAGGTGAGGTTCGCTTGAATGCTTGCTTGCTCGCTCTCCCTCAAATTTCAACTCTTTCGTTTCCCAAAAGGTTGAGATTTTAATCTGTGATTAGGTCATTCTCTTTGTTTCAGTCAAGTTATCAATATGTAGCTTTCAAAAACTTACTCTGAAGCTGTTTTCTCAACTTGTCAAAACTTGTACTGTAATTATGACCATTAGCTGTTGGAGATGGTGCACTTTGTCCAACTGTCTACTGCTTGCCCTACTTTGTCCAAAGGTAGCATATGTTTTTAACTCAAGTACAACATTGTTAACATCCTTACAAATATTACAAAAACAAATGCTTCTGTTAAAAATTCTTGTGTCTGTATTTATTTCATTACATATGTAGAATGTGCAATCATAGGATGACAATTCTTGCATGTGGCAAATGCCTCAGTTTGGTGTCTCCACAGCTCCTTGACCAAGCCTGCAGGAAAAAAAAAGTCCGAGTTCACTTAGTACCAAATCGTTCCTTCCTAAATTGCTGAACATTCTGCTGTTTTTAACTGGGTGATGAATTGAATTATGTCTGTGTACTCTAGTAAAATTGAAGCAAGGCTACTAATTGTAGACAAACTAAAGCCTGGTCCCTCAACCCACTTCATTTGAAGGCAGATTAAAAACAAAATATGGTGGATGCTGAAATCTGAATTGAAAACTGAATCTGGAAATAATTAGCACTAGCAGAATCAAAGAAGAGAGGCAGAGGTCCATTCTGGATATGACTTCAGAATTGGGGAAAGAAATATAGAAATGTAGTGGGTTTTATGCTGTTTGAGGAGGAGGATGAGTAGAGTAGAGGGTGGCATTGATTAACTGAGAAATGTAGTAGAAAAATTGGCAGATTGGTACTAGTTGAAGTAAAGCACTTGCCCAGAGTTGGTGTGAATGGCAGGATAATGACCAGCTCTGGCTGTTGGCAAAAACGTGAAAAACAAAAGTCAGGCCACTAGATAGCCCAAAAAACATCCAAATGGGAGATGCGGCTCATGGTCTGAATTTACTGAACTCAATGTTGAGACGCAGACTGTAAAGTACCTCATTGAAAGATGAGACGTTGTTCTTTGAATTTGTTTTCAGCTTCACTGCAGCAGGCTAAGAACTGAAGTGTTATGAGAGATAGGTGGAGAGTTAAAATGGCAAAGAACTGGAAGCTTGGGGTTGTTCGTACAGACTGAACAAACGCATTCTGCATGCCATTTACCCAATCTGCATTTGGGCTCCCCAATGTAGACAGAACCATATTGTTGCAAACAGAATACACTAAATTGAAATAAGTACAATCAAACCATTGCATCAACTGGAAGAAGTGCTTGTGGCTTCACAGCACAGAAAGAGTAAGTATAAGAGCAGGTTTTGCACTTCATGTAATGCATTGTGAAGGTAATGAGAAGTGGACAAGGTGTTGGGGGTGATGGATGAGTGGACCAGGATATCTTGGAGGGGCAAGTCCCTTAAGAGTACTGAGAGGAAATTTCAGCATGCTGGGAAGGATGGAAGTACAGAGGGCTGTCATTTGTGTATGGCTGCTGATGGTGCAAAGTGAGGCTGAGGGGAGAGAACTGAAGTGTGGGAAACAGCCAGACACGTTGAGGGCCTTGTCAACAAAAAAAAAGCAAGTGACCTCCTTGTGAAGGAGGAAGGACAACTTATTGGATGTGCTGGAGGAACACAGCAGGCCAGGCAGCATCAGACGAGTGGGAAAGTTGACATTTCAGGTTGGGACCCTTCTTCAGAAAAAAGGGTCCCGACCTGAAACGTCAACTTGCCTGCTGTGTTCCTCCAGCTCCATACTGTGTTGACACTGACTTCAGCATCTGCAGTTCTTAATAGAGGTGCTGTTGTGGAAGGTTTAATCATTAGAACAGATGTGAAGTAGATGGAAAAAATGGGAGAAGGAAATGACTCCTCATGGGAGACTGGGTGAAAGGAAGTGTACTTGGGGTGCAATGGGAGTCGGGCTTAAAAGTCTATCCCCAAAATGGAAACAGTAGTTGAAGGAAATGGAAGTGTCTGAGATGTACAATGCAACGATTAAAGAATGATGAAAATTGAAGCAAAGTTGAAGTTTTCCAGCACAGGTACAGTCGTCAATGTACCAGAAACTGAGTTTGGGGAGGTCCAAAGTAAGACTGGCACAATGAGTGTTCCACTTAAGCCCCAAAATACTCTGTTACCTACAGGGGTACCCAATGTAATACCTTTTTATTTGGAGGAAGTGAGACGAGTTACAGAAGAAATTATTGATTGAGGGAACAAGTTCAGCCAGGTTGAGTGTATTAGTGGTGGATGGGGACTTGTTGGGCAAGTCCACTGGGTTCCTGCTTTGCTGGGATGCATTGTTACTTTTTGACCAAATCACTAAAGACTAAGAGACGACTTTCGTACAGGTGAGAACAAGATTTGAATAGTTAAATGTATTACACCAAGCTCATTTAAGTTATGATATCCTTTTAGAAGTTAAGATTTCTAATTTAATTTTTCTTAAATCGATTGATTCCATTCATTCTTTTCCTCTTCATAACAGTGCTTACTAAAATGGTCTGTAGAATTCCGTAGGTGAGGACTTGTCAATATCCTTTATTGTGTTTGAGCTGTCAAAAAAAGTTAGCCTTCAGGCATTGACAAACTAGAAAACACAACTCAAGCCCGTTCGAGTATGCCATGAAGCGCACGTGCACAATTACTGTTCATCTTAAAGGTTTTGCAGTGTGGTTGTGTTCGGCATTAGACCCCATTCACTGACAGAACCTTTATTAATTAGCTAGCTTTTTGGCGTCAAGTATTTGTCTTGTGGTTGTAGCATACATAGATACAAATTTTGCCACTTTGTAGCAGAGAGAGGAAATTAGCTCATGATTTTTATTTTTGAAAGACTGTCATTGGTGAGAATGACAGGAGTCAAACTTCTGAATGCGTTTTCCCATTCCAAGGTAGCATAGATCCTAATTGTCATTTAGGAACGAGCGTTTTATTTCTTGTGTTCTGTATGGTGATAAAGTTTGCAGTTTTAACAACATTACTTATTGAATTAAAACTAAGGACTGTGGATGCTGGAGATCTGAAACAAAATTGAATTTTCTGGTGAAACTCAGTAGGTCTGGCAGGATCTGTGGGAAGAAAGCAGAGTTAATGTTGAGTCTGAGAGTCATTGGACTCGATGTTAACTCCACTTTCTTCCCACAGATCCTGCCAGACCAACTGAGTTTCGCCAACAACTTTGTTACTGATTTTTGAAATGTGGTTTGCATGGGCTGTCTTTTATGGCTAACAAAGACCAATCATATTTCAAAAATGAATGAATAATCTGACTGTCCTTCAACTTCATCTTTGTTTTTTGTTGGCATTAAAACAGTTCTGGAGTAAACCTGTTTATTTTAAAATCTAATTCAAGTCTTCCAAACCTACATGCCTGCCTACCTCCCTCCCTCCCTCCACCTAATCCCAGTCCATAAAAAGACAGCCTTTTATAGGATTTCTAGATTGATTGTTCACAGGATTTTTCATTCTCTGAAACTTTTCATTCTTTAAAATTGTTGCTTTCTTCTGTCCATCAGTTTCTAAGAGCAGTCTCTCTGCTTTAGGTCTCAAGAAATGCTTTTTCATTAAGCGAAAGCTAATTTTGCAAATAATCAGGCTTCATTTCTCCATAAAGCAAATACTGTGATGTTTTCGTTGGTTTTCCATCATTAATTTGTAACAATTTTTGTAATACAAATTAATTTTTAGCATTCTCCTTGACAATAGAATAGCAGTCAATATAAAAGAGGACATAAAGATTTGCCAAAATGCAAGTAGTAAAAGGTTGAGTGCCTTCTATTAAGGACACAGATGGATGTTTAGAGGTGCAAGGCTGGAATGATTAATTGAGAAAATGCAAGTATCAGTGTTTAAGGAGCAAGAGCAGTATAATATAGTGTTGAAAGAAGCAGAGATGACAGTGTGAAGGTTGAAGAGGTAGTGGTACTCTTAATCCTGACCTATGTTTGGGGCAGATAAGTTACTCTAACTCTTAAACCCACCTTCATCTCCTGAATGTAACGGTAAGTTAGGTAACAGTTGACTTTGTGGGAGATTGTCTCACTAACTTGTTGAGTTTTTTGAAGGAGTAACAAAGAGGATTAAGGGCAGAGTGGTGTATCTGTATGGACTTCACTAAGGCTTTCAACAAGATTCCTCATGGTAGACTGGTTAAATCACATATAATACAGGGAGAGCTAGCCACATGGATACAGAACTCTCTTGAAGGTGAGAGACAGGGTGGTGGTGGAGGGTTGCTTTTCAGACTGGAGGCGGTGTGCCAGAAGGATCAGTGCTGGGTCCACTGCATTTTGTCATTTACCAAAATGATTTGGATGTGAACATAGGAGGTATGGTTAGTAAGTTTGCAGGTGACATCAAAGAGGTGTAGTGGACAGCAAAGAAAGTGACCGTAGAGTACAAGGGGACCTTGATCAGATAGGCCAATTGGCGGAGGAGTAGTAGATGGAGTTTAGATAAATGTGAGCTACTGCATTTTGGAAAGTCAAATCAGGGCAGGACCTGTACTCTTAATGGTAAGGTCCTGGGGAGCATTGCTGAACAAAGAGATCTTGGAGTACAGGTTCATAGTTTCTTGAAAGAGGAGTCCCAGGTAGACAGGATAGTGAAGAAGGCATTTGGTACACTTGCCTTTTATTGATCTGTGCATTGAGTATAGGAGTTGGCCGGTCATGTGGCTGTAGAGGACATTGGTTAGGCCACTTTTGGAACACTGTCTACTGTAGGAAAAATATTGTGAAACTTGAAAGGGTTCTGAAAAGATTTACAAGGATGTTGCCCGTGTTGGGGAGTATAAACTGCTTCAGTTCTCATGGCTCAGGATATTGCCAGCAAAGACAAGTTATTCATTGGCATTCTTTTGTCATTGAATGTATGGAACACTGATAGTACCCCATATGACCTGTGTTAATCCTATAACTTGTTACTTCGTTAATGTTACAAATGTAATGTTATGGGTGGAAGACTACTTCCTTTGAGACACATTCCACTTTGCCAGACTTGCGTGGAGCCCGTACTCAAGATATACACTTGTGGTTTAGCATTAGTGCAAACTGCACATCTCCATGCTGGCATTAATGGCAAGTGATTCTCCACTCTTAGATGTTTGAATGCTGCTCCCTGTCATTTTTGTGTTTACAAACAAGTAAAACGTATGAGAGACAGTAGCCAACAACTTTTAATAAATCCCTTTGGGTAGTGTTCTAGACTCACTCATCTTCAGCTATTACATCACCGTCCTTTACTTCATTGTAAGGTAAGAATTGAGGGTGCTCACTGACGATTGCAAATTGTTTAGCATTATTTGCAACTTCTCAGATACTGAAGGATAAGTGCAACAAGACCCGGACAATATCCGGGTGTGATGGCAAGAAACGCTTGTGCCACATAAGTGCCAGTTAATGACTATCTCCAACAAGACAAAATCTAACCATTGCTCCTTCGCATTCAATGGCATTATTATCACTGAATTCCCCCATTGAACAGAAACTGAATTGTAATAGCCATATCAGTGTAATGGCTACAAGAGCAGATCAGAGGCTAGGAATCCTGAAGTGAGAAACTCACCTGATTCCCCAAAGCTTACCCACCATCTGTAAGGCACAAGTCAGGAATGTGATGGAATATGCCCAACCTGCCTAGATGAGTGCAGCGCCAAGACTTGAAGCTCGAATGCACGTTCAGTATCTTCCAAGCCACTCCTCATCCTGACATTTATTGCTATTCCTTCAAGTGTCACTGGGTCAAATTCTGGAACTCCCTCCCTAATAGCATTGTGGGTGTACCTAAACCAGATGGACTGCAGCAGTTCAAGAAGGCAACTTGGCTGGGCCAGCACATATCGTTAATTCCAACAACACCCAGACCTATTACAATAATTCTTTAAAAATCATTTTATGTAAAATGTTTTCCATGTCCTAAAGCTTTTACAGAAAAAAGGTTTAGTTCAGTTCTGTTTTTTCAATGAATTTAAAGTTTTGTTTTAAATTTGAACTAAGATTAACTATTTTTCATGACATTTTGATTCGTTTTTAAAAGGCATAATTTGTGTAAATCTTCTGATTCTCATTTTGTAAAATTTGTTTACGGTAACTACCAACAAAACTTTTTAACAAAAGTGGAACCAGCAAAAGAATCCTAGCAGTGGGCCATTCAGCATGCACAGTCTGCTCTGCCATTCAATTTGATCATGCCTAATTACCTACCTTATATCACTTTCCTTGCCATCTCTAGCCCTTGTTAATTTCTATCTTGAACATGCTCAATGGTGAGCTTCCACATCTCAAGAGAAGAAAATTCTAAATATTCACTAGCTGCATGGGTGAAGGTTTCTGCTCATCTCAGCCTTGACCAGCCTATCCCTTGTTCTGAGAATATGGCCTGGCTGTAGACTCAGGAAGAAGCTTATCTGCATTCAACCTGTCACAGCCTGTAAGAATTTTGAAAATCTCAATGAGATCATCTCTCATTCTTCAAAACACTTGAGAATGTAGATAAGGTTGTCAGTGTTTCCTCATAATCACTCCATCATAGGAATTGATCTGATGAACCTCCAATGCATCCCTTGAATAACAATTATTTTATTTCCTTAGTTATGGAGATCAAAATTATCGACAGTACCTCCTAATGCAGTCTTACTAAGGTTGTATGCAGAAAGCTGTTAACTTGGATAGTCAAATGATTTTGTGATAAAGGCCAACATATTATTTGCTTTCCCTAATGTTTACTCCACCTGCATGCTAGATTTTAACCACTCATGAACAAGGCCACTCAATCCCTTTGAATGCTAGCAGTTCCAAGTCTCATCATTTAAGAAATTTTCTGTTTTTTCCTTTTTTAGCGAAGTGGATACCTTCACACTTATTTTTATTAAGTTCCATCTGTATGTCCTAGCCTATTCAATTAGCCCATCCAAGTCCCCTTTAAGCCTCCTTGCATCGTTTTCACAACTATGCTCCCACCTAATTTAGTGATTCATAGAATCCCTACAGTGTGGAAACAGGCCATTTGGCCCAACAAGTTCACACCGACCCTCAAAAGCATCCCGTCCCACCCAGACCCATCCCCTTAGCCTATCCCTGTAACCCTGCATTACCCATGGCTAATCCACCTATCCTGCACATCTTTAAACCAAGTCAGAAATCACATGATAGTTCTATTTAAAATCACAAGCTTTCATAGCACTGCTCCTTTGTCAGGTGAAGTCTGCCATCTCCTCATCATCTTTGGACTGTGGGAGGAAACTGGAGCACCCGGTGGAAACCTGCACAGACACTGGAAGAATGTGCAAACTCCACACAGAAAGACAGTCACCCCAGGGTGGAATTGAACCTGGGTTGCTGGTGCTGTGAGGCAGCAGTGCTAACCACTGTGCCGCCCAAGATGGTGACTGTTGGTTTAACCTGAGGGTCACCCTGAGATGTTGAGAAGGAGAGTTCTTCACGGTAATGTCAGCTGGTGCAGGAATTGAACCCATGCTTGTCAGTATGAAGCTGCATTGTAAACAGGCTGTCCAGCTAACTGACCCAGTGTATAATCAATCAAAAAATTTGGAAATATCTCAGTTAGTCACATCCAAATCATTTTCCAAAGATTGTGAATAGCTTTGGACTTCACGTTTTCCATATCCAGCATCAGGTTATTTTTCAGTAGAATATTTAATCAGTGAAAATTAATTGTTATACTTTTGAAATGAAGAGTAATGACAGAATTTGGTATGCTTTGAGATCTTCTGCTTTTAGTAGCACGGATAATTGATGAAGACATTGAAATTAGGTCTGTAGGTCAAACTAAAGATAGAGCAGCCATGTCAGTGTTTCCATTCCAAGTGAGTATTTTCATTCAGTCGAATTCAGGTGTTGGTGAAAACTGAATTGAGACAAATAACTTGTTGAGCTGTTTCTGCCATTGTTAGATCAAAGCTGATATGTCTCAGCATTCCCCTAATTTGTTGTTTTCGAAGTCTGCAACTCTGTCGATCCCAAACTTGAAAATTTCAATTGATTCAAAATCTGCAATCATTTGAAGGGTGCAAAGGACAGATTTCTACTACCTTTTGTATGAGAAATGAATGGCCGCTCTCTGCAATGTAGGGATTCTACGATTATATTCTGACTCCGAAACAACCCAACTCAAGTTTTAAGGTTGTATAGTCCTGTTCAGAATTACTCTGCATGCAGAAGTAGTTTCTATATCTACTCCATTGAGTTCTTTATCAATTCTTATCGAGCCTCAGACTTATAAATTCAAAAGGATGCAAGTAAAGCTTGTGATATTTTATAATTTAACCCTCTTTAATCCCAGGTATTATTCGGTAAATCTACACCTTGTCCCTTCCAAGAAGTATGTTTTTGGGGGTTCCAAAAGGATAACCATGTAAAAAAAAAAAAGTGTCTGTTTACACAGCAGGTTGTCAGACATGTCTGTGGTTCATATGCCTAATACACCAAATGTCAGCCTCCTTCTGTATTGTATCAACATTTACCATTTTTACGTGGTGGTCAAGATAATTTTTCTTTGTTTCAAAGCTGTTCTGTGTTCAAATAGATTTCAAGTTGGTACAGTAATCAGTTTAACTTTCAGGTTGGCTTTTATTTCATTCTATTGATGCTTATTTAGCTCTTGTTTTTCTTTCCAGAGAGAGAATCTGTGTTCCAGAGAGTTGGACTGTGTGACAGAAGAGAGCAGAGCTTGGAGAAATGCTAGGATTTTTTCAGTGTGTCCTACTTTCAGTCTGAAAGTTTTTAAATCCCTCGTCAAACTCATTCTGTTCAGAACAAGTTTGTTCCAGTTTGATGTAGCCTTTATCCAGCAGGTTATCAGGGGATGGTATGACATTTTTTTAAAATCCTTTTGTCATATTTTGTCCTGCTCTTCATTCTATTGAGGGTTTAACCAAACTCTCGCTTTGTTATATCCAGAGGTTTTTGGTTGACCGTTGACCCATGCTGTCTCTGGACCTGGCTGACATCACACTGCTTTTGACCTGACTTGTTTTCCAACAGTTTCCTACACATGCCGTCGCTGTTTTGGTTCTTGCCATCAATATCAAATGTACAAACGGTTCTCGCTAACCAACAATTATCAGGTATATCTGATGTTCAGATGAGTTCATAAATAAAGAAGAAAACATTTTTTTCAAAGTGTGATGTGTGCTTTTTTCCTTTTTTAGACTTATAAATTAGGTTTGGGGGAAAAAAAGAACAATGAAATCTGTGTAGATTGGCTATCGGAACTCATAAGGTGCAGATGAACATAATTTTGGCTTTCCCATAGATGTTTGAATATTTTAAATAAAATATTATTGAGCCATCTGTAGTGTACATATTTTCTGCTTTGTGTTTTTTTCTGGGGCAGGGGTAGTAGGAAAGCCTTGGGGCTGGATATTTCCCAGGTCATGCAGACTGAGGACCCCTTTAAAGATGTCATTGAGAACTGATTCCAGACTGCCTGTCCACTTGCAGTACTCTTTTACGAGCTCTTGTGGGGGTGCACAGCCCAAACTGTAAATAACTGTGGCTCATCTCCTTTCTGAGAGGAGATCCGCAGGGAAACCCCAGGCTGAGTTGTCAACCGGGGGGGGAAAAAAAGCCATTCAGCATTCCCTCTTTTCATTGATGTGTCAGTCAATCATAGCTGAAAGTATTAGTGTCAAATATTTTAATTCATTTAAGACCTCCATCTTGTGTAAACAAAAAACTTCAAAGGAACAGATTATAAAATGGTAAAAGACATTGTCGATCAAACAAAGCTTTCTGTTCCGTCTACAGCTACGCCAATATGTTGAAATCAAAGTGCATTAGCCATTTTCAGAACTCATTCGGGTATCTGTGATGAGGCTATCTGTTTAGCTTGCTTTTGGTGATACAGTTGCAAGATGATTGCTTGACTAAGTTTCAAGAATGGATAATGCCCTTGAATCTCAGCCAGCATTGTTCATATGGCAATAGTATGGAGGGAAAGCTTGCTTGATTCATATATCTCTATTACCTTGTAACAACTTGCTGTTTCTTTGAAAGGCTTTTCCACTGCCAACATGTTTACTTACACAACATTGAGTTCTGAAATGGATAAAAGCTTTTGACGTTGATGGTTTAATGACTGCGGTTGATTGACACTTAAGAGGTTGTAAGATGAGCAGCCCTTTTTTTTTCTGTTTAGAATGATTTCAAAATTTTTTTAGTAGTCAATTTCAGGATTATTTTGAAGACTTGCCAGGGGCTTGTTCATTCTGTACATCATGGATTCTTGGAGAGTGAACTTGGTGGGGGGTATATGAGTGACGGGAATTGGAGAGGGAAGAGGAATTGTGGGGATGCTGAGGGTTGGTGGACCTGGCATCAATACAACTGGATTGACATTCCAGTAAATGGAGATGTGTGTTCTTGCTGGTCTCACCAGCCTGCCTTTGGAGGTGGCGAGTCTCCCTTGGAATAAAATATGGGGTTGGGGCCACCTTTCTTTTAAAAGAGACAAGTCTGCCTGGTTGGGTAGTTTCCTGACTTGCCTTTTCTGCCTATTCCATGAAAATCCAGCTGTTTTGTTCTTTCTCTTTTTGAAACATCATATAATCTGCACTCCATATCCAGATGAGATGTTGTTTGGAAGGATGGAGCTGCACATATTAGTTCAGCATTTTGTTGAAGATTTACTTGAAAGGTTGATGCAGTGGTCCATTATCACATTTTAACAACACCTTCATCGGATAATAAAGTTATAATTGGGAAGGTTATTTTTAGAGTGATCCACAAGTTTATAATAAAATCTTTAAATATTATAGAGTTTAAGGTCTCTCGAGCATAGCAGTTGCTTGTCGATCGAGTGTACTAGTTGCTGATCCCTTTCAGAGCTAGCCTTTCAGAACCTGCACATTGCTCCTTTTTCAGCTGGACCTTGCATTTGTAATTATAAATAATGTATAAATATAGTCAATTGCAATTACTTTCCTATATTGGTTAACTAATCGCTGCTCGATTGATTCAGAACATGGTGTTTTAACTGCAGTGTGAATATAAATTTGAATGCAATGGAATTATATTAAAGTTACAAAGTATTAGTTGCTGTTGTAGTGTGAACAACAATTAGTTTACAACTTAGCTATACCTGATGACTGAAGGTTGCACTGATGTGATCATCAAGCCTGTAATTATTTTTCAGCTATGAGTAGTTAACTGTTAGAATAGAGCATGATGAGTGACACTGCAGGATGACAGATTTTGATGCTTTTTTTCAGAGTAGCTGTCTTTAACTGATGACCGTATCATGATCACCTTACTTTACAGAGCACTCTTGAGTGACCATTATTTCAGACTTCCAAAAGATTAACCTCAGTCAGCAAAATCAGCAATAACTCTAAATGGATAGTTCTTCATAAATGTGTAGACAAATTGGTACATAAGGGAATAAAAAGGAAACGGCTTTTGTCTTCTATAAGATGGTATTGTTAAGTCTACTATATTTTCATTTGCAGCATGTGTTCAGCTTGCTTGCTTTGGGCACCTCACCTCAATATCTGGTGGAATAAGATAGAAAAATCACCGGGAAAACTTGAATTAAACTTTGGTACCTCAATTGGTGAATGTTCAGCCCCATATCCAATTTAAACCCTACCTGACAAGTGGGAATTGTTTAAAGTGAGAATGTTAGCAGAGATGAAAAGTTAAAATCTCAAATTATTTTGAGCCAAAAGGGGGAGATTTTTTTAATATGCAAATTATTTTACCCAGTTAATTTTATATTCCAATACCTTGCCAAAAATCCTATTCAGTTGATTAATCGACAAGCAATGTTACTTAACAAATCAAGATTAAACTCTGTTGCAAGAATGTTATCCTGTTGTTGAAATTGCTTTAATGAGTAGCTGCTGGCGATGATCGCAATAACTAATAATAATTTAGGACAGTACTTGCCCTGTGTAGGTGCATCATTTTAATTTTGGGGTGGGGTGGTGGGGGTGGGTGATGTGAAGACTAACTGAAGTTTTATTTCATTAGATTAATCCTGTGTAGAATGTACAGATGTTGTGCATGGATCTCCTCCATTACCTGCACTTGTGTTTTTATAATATACATTTTATATATATTCATGTCTTTGTCCATATGAAATATTGGATGATGTTTGCATACTTCCATGATGTAAAAAACAAACTAAATATTTGATCTGGTGAATTTTAAGAGTTTTTAATTAAATGCTATAAATGTTTTATGGCTTGTACAGTGTTTGTTCATAGTGTCGGGGATTTTACTCCACTCACATGGGACAGTGAAATTTTTAAGCTTTGTGCTGGAAATGCTCATATCCAGGCTTATACATTCAATGAAATATATCTTCTGTAAGATCGTTCTTTTATTCCTTCAGCTTTCATGTATAAGTAGGAATCATTGTTTCTCTAAATTCCTACTGATGGCAGATGATCTCCTTTCACTATCATTCTGAGTTGCATGTTTTTGTTATGACCAGAAAGCAGTTTCCTTATTCTCTCCCATGCGACCATATTTTACAATGCCCATTTTATCTTCAGTCCCCGAGGTCTGATATGTTTAAAACTGTGGTCCCAGGTACATCATTGTTTGACTATATTTTCATAGGCTTTTGCTGCCATCACGTCATTTTACTATAGATAAATTTTAGAATCCTCCACTGCTATTATTGGAAGACATTAGTTCCTAGTGCTCTTAAGCAGCCCTCAGAACAGTGTGTGTTTGCTATATCAGTTACCTCAGTCAACATTCACATGACCAGTGAGCATGCGTGAGAGGCTTGCATGTTAGGTGTATAAACTTCTTGCATCCCAAAAGCATTCTTTGGATTTGTTTGAACAAATGGAATCTACTTAAATATTTTATTCCCCTTCTTTCAGGACTGTGTTAGAGCTGTGCTTCCTAGTCCTTTTCTCATTGTAACACGACTTTGGTGCTGAGTTGCCAAGACCCAAGATCTATTAGATTGGTGGACGAGATTGTAGAGAAAAGGATTTTTGGATGGTGTTGGGGGGAGCATGTGGAGAAATAGAAAATGGCATGTATTATGGGAAGATGTTAGGGGCAGGAAGAAGGCTGTTTAAATCTTCAGAGTCTTTAAGAGTGCCCACTTTGGTCTTTAGGGACAGAGTTTACTTTGGACAGAATTCAAGACTACAAGTATGGGCTGTTAAATACCTTTTAATGTAAAAGTACACCATTTAAAAGGATGCCATAGCTGTTGGCACTTGGAGCTCATAAACAGTATTGTTTTGCATCAGATTTTTGCTGCCAGCCTCATTGGGGCCCATGAATCACAGTATGGGGAGCCTTGTGTTACAGCCAAGCTGTCAAATTAGGGTTTTAAATTTCTGAGATAATGCCACAGAGCTGTTCGTCTCACCTGAAGTGGGAAGTGGGGCCATAAGATATCAAGCCTGTAAGTGATGTTCCCCATCTTGTTATAAAGTGGGAAATAGAATTATTCTGTCTGTGACATTCCTCAAGTCAATTGGACACACTTGGCATGGTGCTTATCAAATGTATTACAACTAAGCTATGATGCTGTCTTGCATTGTGGCCCCTCATAACTTCATGAACTTCTCTCCATCCTTGTACGAACTTCTAACATGACAATGCTTACTAGATAGCTTGTATGTCATATGTAAGCTAGGTTGTATCATGTTCCACAAGCTTCAGAAAAACTGTACATTTAGCCATCATCTTACCAATTGTTTGTTTGGAATTATGTTAAACTTCTTTTTAACTTTTAGGAACTGAAAATGTAACTTCCTATCTCGAACATTCTGTCCTTTTGCGTTTTACTTTTTTCCTCAACTTCTACATATGTTGCTTTAAGAGGTAATGTCAGGCTGAGCGACAAATTAGAAATGTTTCTCTTTTGTAAGGTGAGAATTATATAGTAATATTCATTTTAGAGTCTGGATTGTGAACTAATGATGTGGGTTTTGGACTGTGCAGCATGGGTTTTAATGATTAACTTATCAATATTTCTGGAGCAATGATTTATTTAAATAAGTATGAGGGAATCCCTGTGAATTTGCATTGGGAGAGTTTAACTAGAGAGGGTAAGCGTTGAGGAGCATTAGTTTGCTTCTGTTTAGAAAGATCAGTATTTTTTTAACTTGGTGGGTGGAGGGAACACCCACAGCTCAGTTCAGATA